GGTAAATATAATCCATGCATGTTTTTTGTCTTCTATCAAGGTCCCTTTGCCACTTGTGCTGATAAGTTGATAGCAAAATTTGGAGCTCAAATCTCCTGTATCGAGACTGTGTTCCATGATAGGTTTGAGGTAAGTCTATCTTTAAGCCAATTTATCTTGGTTGCCTTCAGAGATATGAAAAAGCGGTCAACTGATAAATTGTTTATCATATTATCAAAAACATTTCATCAGTTGACACATTTTTGATATCTCTAACAGGATTTGAGATAATTGAGCTCCCTTGTATTGAAACTGCGTTCCACGATAGATTCAAAGTAGGTCAAAAGTTGAAGAATCGCTTTTAAATAAATTTTTTCCGGAATCAAACCAAAAAGTGTGAAGTCTGGGAGAGATCCCAACCATGCTTAGTTCGAGCTATTCAAAATTCTTGTAACAAAACTTTAAGATCGGATAAGTGTTACACGCGTAGTATATTTTTCTCCAGCATCCTGCCGACGCCATATTCTCATCGTTTAATTCGATTCTCATCGTTCATTCCTGGAAAATGTTTCTAAAAAATCTAGGTCATGACCTAGAAAAAATCTAGGTCACGACCTAAAAAATCTAGTTCATGACCTAAAAAAAAATCTATGTCATGACCTAAACAGTTCCAGGTCATGGCCTAAAAAATCTGGGTCATGACCCAGATCACGACCTAAAAAAAATTTAAGCCACGACCTAAATAAATCTATGTCACGACCTAAAAAATCTAGGTCACGACCCGAAAGATCTAGGTCATGACCTAGAAAAATCTAGCTTTTTGTCAATATTTCTTTTATTTTTTTTTTGAAAAAAAAACGTCGGAAAAACACGCGAAAAACAAAACAATCTTTAGATTACGGTAGTTGCCGTTGTGGGACCTTCACAGCTTCAATATCTTGTACCAGAATATTAGATTCCATTCAAAAACTCACAATAGCTTCTTGACACTTCCTGGATATGTTTCGATAAGCTTCTGGACTTTTCAGAATCAATTTTGAAGATTTCATCGCCGCAGTTATCCTCTTGTTAGCCTCGTCAAAAATCTGAGAAATTTAGAATTAATTTGAAGGAAAACAAATCATCAACTCACCGGTATACAATCTGAAACGTCTCTTTCAAACTTTACTTCGCCTTTTTCAAACCAATGAGCTGTGCTGGATCTTAGGATCGCACTCTTTGTCCTGGTGATTCACCCCCTTTTAATATGATTCTTCCTGCTCTAAGAGTATTCCTATCCCCCGCATGTTATTGTTTATTATATTAAACTCCTCCCCTTTTTTATTGTATTTAAAGGGGGACTCCGACCAAAAATTTTTATTGCATTAAAATGTGTTAAAATTTATCTATTTTTCAAATATTATTGCGAAAAAATTCAAAGAAAATCCGAAATTCCCGAAAAACGGCGTTAAAAGGAAGAAAATTCAAAAAAAGGTGCCGCCGGGGGACGAGGA